CCTCTTATGAGGACCTTTGTGATTACATTGGGCCCACTCCGGATAATCCAGGATAATCTCATCTCAAACCCTTAACTTAATCCCATCTGCAAAGTCCCTTTTGTGATGTAAGGTGCCATATTCACAGGTTTCGGGTGGGCATAGTCCTTCAGGTCTCAGTTTTATATGTCACCTTGTTTGAGAGGCCTACCCTGCCCTATTATTCTCTATCCTATCACCCAGTTTTATTTCCTTCATTCCACTGAAAAGCTTTGGCATTACCTTGTTCTTTATTTGTTTCTGTCTGTCTCTTCTCATAGAATGTAAGTGCCGTGAAGGCAGGTACCTCACCCATCTGGTTCACTCTTGTATTCCCAGAGCCTGGGACAGTGCCTGGCTGTGGGCAGATATCAGTGACCACATGAATGAATGATGAGCTGAAGGATGTAGGAATGATGAGAACATGGTGTATGACCATTTCTTACCCCACAGAGATGACTTTGGGCCTATGGTCAGCAGCTCTCCGTGTTGGGTGAGGTGTCACTGGCCTCCCAGTTGGCTGGTCCTTCCACTCCTAAAGAGTCTTTGTTTCTGCAAGTCATTGTAGAAAAGAATAGTCCCTTGGGGCTGATTGTGGCTCTGGGAGTGGGGGTGAGAAGATCCTTAAAGTGATTCAGAAAACCACACAGCCACAAATATGTGTGCTCTTTGGATTTGACAGTTCTTGGAGTTCTTGGCAGATAACGTATCTGCCTCCTGTTCATTTCTCTATGATTGCAGCTGTATCCATTTTTGCCCTGGGGGGAAAACAGGCTTCTTGCTGCGTCACCCCCTACCCCAGGTGAATTTTGAGGGACCCAGCAGTAGAGACTCCTTTGTTGGACCGCTCCTCGTCTTGCTCACTCATACATGTGCCAGCCTTTGTACACAGCTCTGCTTTATCTCTGCCCAACTGTGTGACTTCAGACAAATGACTGCTTCTCTCTGAGCCTTTAGTTTCCTCATCTGTAAAATGGGGATGGGTTGCTGAGAGGCTTAGGGGACACGATGGTGGGGAAGGTCCTTAGTGTTTTTCCCTTCTCTTAACCTAGGAGGAGCCTGGTTAGTCCAGACAAGGGGCATTGGACCCTAGGGTGGGTCATTTCATGAGGCTGAGCCACGTCTGCTCCAGAGGACTTTGAAGATGGGCAAGCTTTTCTGCTGCGTCAAGTGAACTCCTGCAGGATTTGGGAACTCAGACCTGAGGGATGGTCTCCACATGGTGTTAAACAGTGGGGATAAAAATAGGTTTTTCATAGAGTGTATGAGGTTTAACAATGATAGCTAACACTCACCTCACATTTACTATGTGCCGAACACCTTTCCAAGTGCTTCTGTATACATGACTAATCTAATCCTTGCAACAACCTCTGAGACAGGTGCTGTTGTTATCCTTGTTTGCAGATGAGGAAACTGAGGCATAGGGAGAGGTGAAGGGCCTTCCCTAAGCACATGGCAAATAAATGGTAGAGGTAGGATTTGAACCTAGGTCTCTGAATCCAAAGTGTGGGCCTGGACCATCTGGGCCTGTCCTACTGACATAAGCATGCATTTTTCTTTTCTTTCCTTTTTTTTTTTTTAAGATTTTATTGGGGAATTGGGGGAGGGAACAGCATTGGGGACTCGGGGAAGGGGAACAGACAAGTCGCTGTCCTTTTGTTGTTCAGTCTAGTTGTGGAGGACGTTGCTTCACTGGCCCATGTTGGTATTATGATCATTGCGCTCTTCCCGGCTGATGAAGATCGGTCACTGGCCATTGGACAGCCACTCACGGGGTCTCATGGCAGCTCATGTTGGCTGCCGGCCACTCACAGTGGCTTACAGGCAGCCCACTGCAGCTCCACCGCAGCTTACGCCGTCACCGGCAACTCACAGCAGCCCAGCTCCAGGTTGAGCTGTTGTTCACCATCTTAGCTGTAGAGGGCGCAGCATCGCTGGCCCATGTGGGAACTGAACCGGAGCTCTGCTTCTCAGACCTCACGCTCCAAAGTCAACTCTTAACCAACAAGCCACTTGGCTGGCCCAGCATGCATTTTTCTATCTGTAAAAAAGTCTGGAAGATTAGAAGCAAAAATATAACCAGTGCTCTCTTGGGATCTCCCAAGTGGAATGTCATAGGGACTTTGATTTTCTCCTGTTTTCCCAATGTTCTGTAATGACCAGATATTACCTGTGTGTGTGGGGAAAAGAACTGTGGATGTAGCAGGGCCCTTGGCAGAGCCTCATTGCCCCAGAACCTCTATCTTGTCTTGACCTTGTTTTAAAGGTCTAATTAGGTGCTGCTAGGTCAATACCTAAAGATATGTCACTTTCACGGAGCTAAGATATCCAAATTACAAGACACCTTAGAGTTTAATTCCTGTTTCTCCTGTGTTCCTGTGAGGAAATGCAACCCACTGAGGCTAAGGGCCATGGCTGAGTTCCCGCAGCCATGGAGCACCAGGGGCAGCTCCTACGCTGCTGGTTTTCCTGTTCACATCATGCTGCCTCCAAGAGTGGGAGGCGCAATCGACAGCTTCACTCCGCTCTTTTATCTCTGCTGCTGGAAGCAGTCCCTGACCTGCTAATATCACTTCCTCCTGACCTGGAGTCTGGCCTGGGATTTCCAGTGACTAAAGTTGCAACGCAAGGAACTTTCCATCCTCATGGGGCACTTCTTTTAGAGGCTTTCTCTCTTCAGGAAGCTGTCACAACCTTCCCCATTCTTTCAGAGGAGGGGATTGTGCAACATGATCATGTCCCCCACTGACTCTGAGGCCTGACATGGTATCCGTGGCTCTTAGGATCCAGTTCAAACTCCTAGCCTGGCATTCAAGGCCCATTGTTATGTTGTCCTGGGTTTCATCTCTTGCCTCCCCTTCCTCACTCAGTTCACTTAAGTTTGTATTTTTCAAACAGAAAAGCTCCCTGGGCTTCTGGTTTACTCACCACAGGATCTCTAGATCCTGCCACAGACCTGGAGCACAGTAGTGCTGAATCATATTTTGTTGAATGAGTGAATGACTTGACATTCATATAGGTTCCTACTCTGTGACTTCTGAAATCCTAGAGCTGGAGTGTGATTATGTTATTCCTAGTTTAAAAAAAAATGTCTTTCTCACTTCAGTAAACTCCGTGGAATACTATGTGACCATTCAACAATTTATGAAGAGCTTATAACAACTCAGAAATGCTATGTTAGATGGTAATAAATAAGAGCAGGATCAAAATCTTACTTACAGTCTGAAGACTACTGCATTGAGAACCATACCTGTGTGTGTGTGTGTGTGTGTGTGTGTGTGTGTGTGTGTGTGTGTTGCGGGGGGGGGAGTTGAAAAGGGAATGTACCCTAGTGGGATGCTGTGTAACTTGTTTTATTAGGTTTTTTTCCTCTGCATTTTCCAAGTTTTCTTTAGTGAACAACAATTAATTTTATAATAAAAAATGAAAAGAAGGGATGCATTATTTTTAGTATTGCCAATGGTAGGCTCCTGCAAATTTTGTACAGTGCTTCAGAGATGGCAAAGTGCTTTTGGATCCATAGGCTCTCTTGATCTTTATAACTGTTCTGTGGAGCTGGTGGTCATGAGTGGGTGGGTTCATTCATTCGTTCATTCATTCATTCATTCATTCATTCATTCATTCATTCATTCATTCGAGGTTCCCTGCCAGGGTTGGGACTTAGGGGTGAGCAGAATGAGATGCTCAGGGCAAAATTTAAGGAGGCCTAAGGAGGCACTTACTCTTCAGATGCTGCAAGTGCAGGATCAGCCCTAAGAGTGAGTGGCTCCTTAAATTTTGCTGCCTGGGCACCTCTTTTGCCTCACCCTGGTCCTGGCTCTGCCCCCACTCTGCCAGGCACTGTTGTCTGTTCTGGGGATCTAACAGTGAACAAAACACATAAAACTCCTTGTGTATATGGTGTAAGGGTGAAATTCAGGGAATCAATAATGCAGTTAGACTTAGCTAGTTTGCAGTTTAACTCACAGCATAATTAAACCTGTTGTAATTAAACCTATTGTAGTTTGATCCATCCTGATATTCATCTGTTTTATCTTTGTTTCTCCTCTCACTGATTAACTGTTCCCTTTAATAAGGCTACCCATACCTCATTAATTAACAAGATCCTAACCTGGGAAAGAGCAATTTCTTAATCCTCAGGTCTCTGGACACGGGACACTGGAATCCAATTTACAACCCCCTTGCAGTTATTACTGGTGACGCATTAAAGTTTCAGGTGGTGATAGCTGAGTCCGAGTCCGGAGTCCAGAGATAAAATCATCTTCAAACAGACCAGACCCCAGGAAGGATGTCAGCACTCAAACCTGCTTGACTGACTCCCCCTTTCCTATATAACACAAAGCTTACCTGAAGTTAGTGCAGCTGTCCACTCTCAGACTCTGGACTCTGCCCCGTGACACCCCCCCCCTGTCCGCCGCCGCTGCCCTGCCAGTGTTTCTCTCCTTACTACCCAAGGCAGCTATCATCTTTGGACACTGCCATGGGCATTCTCTCTCTGCCTTAACTTTAATAAAAATTTCCTTTGTGGAGTCTGTGAATGCTTTCACCTTTTGTGAGTGACCACGGGTCAATTCCACGCCACGACACATGGGGCTTCTGTTCTAGAAGGAGAGGCAGGCAAAGTTGTCACTCTGCTGTTACAGTCGAGGAAACAGTCTCTCCTGGGGAAGAGACTTTCTCAGAGCAAACAGCAGCTAAATAAAGCTCAAGGACCCTGACCCTCTCATCCAGTGGTTTCTCCTAAGTCTTGTGTGGCAGCCAAGTTGATAGTTATGTTCAAGTGTTAATGTGCTTGTTCTGTGGGTATTAAATAGAATCAGCATTTTAACTTGGGGCTGTCTGTGGACCCCAGCTGATAGTGTAATTTCAGGTATGGTAGGGGTCAAGTGGGAAAGATGTTATGGACAAAGCCTGGCTAGCTGACCCTCTCGTGGAGGGACTGCCTTCCCAACTCTAAGCAAATGCTCTCACTTGCTTTCCAGCCTCCTATGTGATCACAGACCTGACCCAGCTGCGAAAGATCAAGTCAATGGAGCGGGTGCAGGGTGTGAGCATCACCCGGGAGCTGCTGTGGTGGTGGGGGATGCGGCAGGCCACCGTCCAGCAGCTGCTGGACCTCCTGTGCCACCTGGAGTTGTACCGTGCTGCCCAGATCATCCTGAACTGTGAGTAACCAGGGTGGCCCCGTGTGGCCAGCCCCTAAGTGCGTTTCAGCAGGAGCTGCACTGTCTGGCCTTAACCCCTTTTCAATCTGAAAACAATTTTGAATGGAAAGGTTTACCATCCACTAAGAAATTAGTAACAGAGGTCACCTCTGGTCATGGGTGGAGATGGAGGGCATACCCAGGCCATCTGGATCCAGAGCCCTCATTCTTAGCTTTTCTCACGGGAACATCCAGAATGCAGTGCTTGGGCTTCCAGGAAGCGGTGACGTTTTTGCCTGTCAGCCTCTCTTCTGCTTAGAACTTGACATAGATAGATCCCTGCTTTCCTGTTCCAGCTACCTCGAACCTCTCAGGGCTGTGAGTCTACCTTTGTTCCCCAGCCCCATTTCTCTTCCCCTTATCCTTGTTCGTTAAAATAGGAGAGATTAAAGCCTGTTTCCACATCCACAAACCCCTGCTGTTCTGTTGTTTTGAGAGCCTGGTTGTGTTTGTACTATTGGTTTGAGTGCTCAGCAAGACACTTCCCCTTTCTGTATCTTGTTTTTTGTGTTTTTTTTTTTTAATGAAAAAAAATGTGCTATAAATCTCTGTTACTGTTTGGAGGTGAATGTAGGGGGCATGTAGGGAGCATTTTAAGTTCCTGTATTCCAACTTTCAAAGCCAGTTTCTGTTCCCAGTTGCCACATTAGTTGAACCTTATTTTGCATGTACTTGTTGAAAATTGTTTATGATCTTGCTCAGCTACCTCTCGCAGTTTTTGAGAACCTGACTTCTGCCCACCACTCTAAGAATAGATTTGAGTAAAACAGTGCTTGACAACCACACACACCAAAAGCCCTAGATGTAAAGTGGCTTCCCCAGTGACTTAGTCTCCAGATAATATTATTTATATTTAACAGAGGCCTTCTGAAGGCTGGGCTGGAACTGAAAGGTGATGTGTGGGAGCCATTGGGGGGCTATGTGTGTGTCCAGTCCCTTGAAATCATGTACTGTGGGTGGCTGCTGGTCTGATTGTGTGAAGAGCTAGGTCTGTTGGATCTTTGTTCCTTGATATTTTCTTGGCCTTAATTGCGAGGACCATTGTTGTTCAATTTGTCAAATATTAAATGTTAGAAGAATTAGAATAAATTAGTACAGAAGGCTTACTGCCCAGTTACCCATTCCTCTCTCCAGCAAATCTGCTTGCCAGTGTCAACCCTTTTTTATTCTTTTAGCCATTTCTTGGTAGTCTCCTGTATTAGCGATCCAGGTTCACTACTGTTGCTAAGGGCAGACAACAGTGACTTAAATAAGACAGACATGTATTTTGCTCTCCTGTGACAGTCCAAGGTGCCCAAGGTGTGGAGGACCAGGTCCTTTCTTTTTCATTGCTCTGTCATCTTGGACACCTGGCTGCTGACTCATGCCTGAGATGGCTACCCTATGTCCCCACATGCACATTCCAGCCAGCAAGAATGGCGTGCCCTGGAAGCTGTACACCTAACTTCCCTTCACATGCCATTGGCCAGCACCTAGTCACATGACCACACCTAGTTGCAAGGGAGACTGGGAAATGTAATGTTTAGCTAGGAGGTTATGTGCACAACTAAAGTTTCTATTACTCTAGAAGAGGAGGGAATAAATATTGGAGGGACAGCAGTCTTCCTACAGTCCTTTCCTTTGGGTTACCCAAATATCCATATACACCTGTTTTCCCACACATAAAACGGGCTTACCCTTTCCCCAAGGGAGATAGGCCTGGAGTCTAATCAGTTCCTTCCTTTAGCTCAAGGCCCAGGATCTGTGGGTGATGCGTAGTTTTCTGTACGAGCCTCTGATGATCCAGTCCCTCTCCACCAGAGAGAAGTTACTTGTTCCCCTTTTCCCAACACATTCCAAAACTCATTGGTGGAATATGAACAGGAAGCCACAATCAAAACTTCCATTTGAAACCAGAAGCACGATGACGCTGTAGTTACTTGTCTGTAGCATTTGACAAATCTGGCTAACAGAATTGTAAAAGGTCCCTTGGCTAGGGGAGTAAGTCCTTTGTTTGGTCTACCTTGCATGCCCCTGTTCCCAGTAAGCCATTGATTCTCAGAGTGTGTTTCCTTGATTTCTATGCATCAGCACCACCTGGGTGCATCTGCACAACCTGGGAACTAGTTAGAAATGCATATTCTTGGGCCTCACCTCATTTGCTGATTCAGAAACTCCAGGGATGGGGCCTGATTCCAACAGATTCTGATGCAGATGAAGGTCTAAGAACATCTGCTCTAACTCCTGGTTCTTTAACTTCTGGCTCTGCCTTGGGGGTGAGGTGGGGTGAGGTAGGCATTGTGGGAAGTTCCCCTGTTTATTATTCTCTGTGGCCTCATCTGAAGTGGGAACTGGAGAGAGGGCTATACAGCTTACACTGCCCACTTCCTGCTGGTGTGGGTTTAGGGGCCTGAGGGGAGGTGTAGGGGTCAAATAATTAAAAGCTGTTGTCACACCAGGCCTGTGGTTTCTTTGCCAATACAATTCTATGAAAAAGCTAGAAGATTCTGGTCTCTTGGCTTCTAATCAATTATGATCCAGCCCAGACTTACCTTAGCTCTTACCTCTGGAATGTTTGATCTTTCATTTAGTGGCCTGTGCGCTTGGCCTGCTTTGCCTCTCCTCCTTATGTAATGTGCTTACCTGGAGCCTCCCTAGAGGACACCTGAGACAATAAACTGGATGGACAGGAAGCACGCTTAATTTGACTTTTGCCTCTGGGTTCTCTGCCAACAGAGAACCTTCTGAGGTTCATTGGTGGAACTGGGAAAGGTGAATGGTGATTAGAACAGTTAGGGCCACAGTTTTATCTCCTGCCACCGCTGTCTCTTCAGGGACCCTAAAATGGGGGTTATCAGTCACTTTAGATTGTCAACTACAGACTAAAAGAGTCTTCCTTTTCAACTCTGCTTGTACATGGTCTAGTTCCACTAGAGTTCATCTCTGTTTTGTTGAAGCTTCCTGAAAAAGAAGCCACACACACACCACCATTCAGAACATTTTAAATTTCTCCCCTTAATTACAGGTGCTTTTTAGCACATGGACTGCCTTCTGAGTGTTACAGGTGATGGTTTTACCAACTTTTTGCTTTGGTATACAAAGAGTAACCAGTTTTCCAGCCTGCAATATCTGGATCCTTGCTGCCTGGAGCTGTACTCCTGGATACCAAATTCTGTATTAGTTATTATATTGTTTTGGCTGCTATAAGAAAGGCCAATAACAGCAGCTTAAACTAAAAGAGGGTTTCTTTCAATTAGTAGTGTGTGTGTTGGCAATCCAAGGATGATATGATCGATTCAGTGTCAGGGATTCAGGCTTTTTCTGTCTTATTATTTGGCTGTCCTTGGCATGTATGTGGCTTCCATCTTGTTTGAGATACTTGCTCCTGCTCCTACTGCCATTTCCACATTCCAGCCAGCAGGAAGGGGAGGGCGCTTTCCTTTCCTTTTAAGGGTACAATCTGGGAGACGCACTTATCATTTCACTAAATCCTATTGGCTAGAACTTAGTCACATGACCATACTTAGCTGCAAAGGAGTCCAGGAAGTATAGTTTTTAGTCAGGCAGCCATATATTTAGCTGAAAGTTCCTTAATGTAAGAAAACGGAGAATGGATGTTCTGTATCACATTAGTACTATCTCTAAATACTGTGCTTATATGTTATTTTTATATTTAGCAATTTAAATATTATCCACTAACTTCCTAGAAGAGGTTTGGTTTATACACACCTCCCCTCCCCCTTTCTCCCAGTACATTTATATCACAATTTTTAGTTCCTCTATAATTGCTTTTTTAACTTTTAATGAATATCCTTTCATTTCTAGTTCTTTTAACTTCAGCTCTAGGCAATGCCTCTTGATGCTTCACTCTGTAAGATGAAAACGTCCATTCCCTTGCCCTTTCTTACTTTTTCCTCCCCAATTTCACCTCTCAGCTTCTGGCAAAGGCCATTTGTGAAGTAGTCCTCCATGGATGTTGTCACATCTCCAGGCTCTCCTGAGCCCACAGGGAAGAGTTAGGTCTTGCATGAAGTCCCGATCTCTCATCAGGAGAGGAAGGGAAATGCTGCCTTTGTGTTCTGGTTAACAGATGCCTTGTTGTAATGGGGAAATACTGTGTGTGCTGTGTGTGTATAGGGCATCTGCAGGGCAAGTCATAGTCTAGAGTAGCATGTCCCAAACCACATGCCTCAGAAGAGTGCTCTAGCAAAATACCCTCCTGCAAACGAAGGGTTCATGAATAACTAAACTTGGGAAATCCTGTATGCTTTATCAGTACCCCCTACCTTTGGAGATTCACAGTGTACACCAGCATATACAGGACTCTGATAAGTCCTGTAGCCAAGAAATCTATCTAGACCATTTATATTTGACCTTGGAATCCCCTTTTCATTTGATTCTTATTAATATTCCCATGGAACTAACACACTTTGGGAATCACTGCTGTAGTGAAATAGTGACCCTGGTGAAATTGCTAGGCAGCTCAGGGGAGCCTCATGATGGAGAGCCTGGGGGATCGAGGGCAACATTTATGTGGTCAGGTCAGCATTCATCATCAGAAGAGTCTGACCTCAGGGGCGAGGGCTTACCATCACCCTGGGGCTTAAAACATGAGAGTCCTAATTCTATTTGAAGGATGAGTGGGCCAGCTGAAGGAAGGGACCACACTGGCATTTCTAGGCAGAGGGGACGGCATGTGCAAAGGCCTGGTGGTAGAAGGAGCAATGTTTGAAGACTCAAAGAGAGGCCATGGAGGCCTCAGCCAGAGGACAGAGGGCTGAGACCGGGAAGAGGGCGCGGCCAGGACATCCAAGGCTGCACAGGCTGTGGTCAAGGGTTTGCTTTCACCTGGAGTGAAGGGAAGATTTTGGAGGGCTTGTATCTGGGGAGTATCCCACTGTGCTGGCTGCTGTGTGGAATGGGTGCCTGGGTGGTTCTAGGTGTCAACTGAGTAAGAGAGCAAAAAGCTTCTAGGATCTGAA